CGGAAGTAAGTAACTTCCGGGAACGGTGAAGGGCCCACCCGTGCCCGCGCGCCCACGCTCCTTACCCGGTTTTGATGAGTTCTGCGCTTCCACGCATGCGCAGGACGCATACAGCGCCTGTGCGATCCTCCAGGAGCAGCTGGAGCATCGCACAGATGCTAGTACGCATGCGTGCACCGTGCGCGAGGACGCCGCCGGCCCCGTTCCAATTGAACCGGTTGGAACGGGGCGAGAAACCCACCCCTGACATACACCCTGTAGTAGTTCAGACGTACCCATCTCCTCTTACCTCTTAGAGACTCTGTAATGTGCTGTGGTCAGTTTCCCGGTCTGAGGGTCATGCACAGTAGCTCGGGTCAGCTACAAAAAAATAAAAAAATAAAAGAGAAAGGACAAGGGCTTACTTTTAGAAGCAAGCGTCTGGGCCAAGCCACAGGTAATTGGGAGGGTTCTGATTGGTCAAGAGAGAATGCAATGCTCAGATCAGCAGGAACGCTTAAAGGATTGCCGTATCCGCTGTATTTCTTGGTCTCAATTTCATTCATTTGGTTTAATCAAATTTGGTTAAGTTGTCCTTTCACTTTTTCTTCCCCAAATGGAAAGCTTATGCAAGCCACTTGTATCTGCCGAGTTTCACAGAGAAATTTCTCAGGAACCCAGAAGTTAAAAGGGCTCTTCATCCCTTCTACTGCTTCTTTGAAAAAAAAAATATGTATTGATGGGTTACATGCTTAAACTTTATCAAAGTTAGGGCGTTCCAACAATTGACAGACTGCTGCATTTATAGGGACGCACTATAAATATTTGTAAATGTTGCATTTGCCACGAAGAAAAAAGTGGTTAAAAAAGCAGGGGATGCATTAAAGTGAAATAAATAAAAGGAATAAATTAACAAAATCAAAAAAAAGTTTCTGAACACAGCACACAACACGTTTCGCCTCTACAACAATGTCTGATAGGAACCACTACGAGAGCTGGATTTTAGCCAGAGAAACTGGAAATTCCCAGTAAAAGAGACATGTTGGAGTTCCACACAGGAGTGAGATCCAATTATTTTTAAGTTTTTAAAATTATTCAAATTGTGTATAAACATGTGGGGACTCCCCATTTTCAGCAGTCAGAGAAAGGTTCCCCTCGCACATATGTGCTAGTTGACTCTAGGACAGTGTTTCTCAACCTTGGCCACTTGAAGATGTCTGGACTTCAATTCCCAGAATTCCCCAGCCAGCATTCACGAATGCTGGCTGGGGAATTCTGGGAGTTGAAGTCCAGACATCTTCAAGTGGCCAAGGTTGAGAAACACTGGACTAGAAGCAGCTGGTCTGGTTTCTGGGCCAGCATCTTAGTCAAACAGTCTCTCTGTTGTCTATCTCACCCTGATTCTGTAGGTCTTCTGGTGATGCTCCCACTCTCACTGTAATCAAATTCTTTCATCTTATTCTACGCTGGTCACCCCACTTCTCTCTTTCTCTCTCCCTCCCCTCTCCCCCACTCTCTCCCTCCAGCTTTACAAACTTCTCAGGAGAGTTAGGTCTTCATATAATATGTCCAAAAAACCAAAAGGTTAATTTGAGAGCTTGATCATTTTTGCATTTGTGCATCAAATAAAAATCTTGCATTGATTTTTTTCCCCAATGATTCATTAGTTAACATTTTTGGCTACCCATTGTATTCTCAGGAGTTTTCACCAATGCGTTCTTTAGTCCAGAATGCAGCCGCGCGAGCGATTGTGGGTGCACCCAGGTACACCCACGTCACACCTATCCTCCGCGAGCTGCA